TACAGCTGCTATGTTCTGCTCGTGACAGCAGCAGAATGGGTCTTCATTTGGCATTTGTTACTACGTGATGGTTTATTTTCAGACCTGAGCCACACCAAAGGACTGGGTCATGTTAATCACTCTGGAAAGGCAGCAGAACTAAAAATAAAACCTCCCTTACAGAATAGAACTCATCTTTCCCCCAATATAGCATTGCACCTAACTTCCTGTTGTATTGTGAGCAGCACTAGATTTTCAATCACTCAGATTCAAAATATTAGAGACATTCTCATCTTATCAACTCCCATATCAAATCTGTTATCAAGTCTTATTGATTCTACATCCATTAAAAATCATTTATCTCCACCATTTTCTCTTTACTCACCTAACCATCAGAGTATTTCAGGGCCCCATTATCTAAAAAACATTACTCCCTTTCACATGTCATAAGTTCTAGTAAAGATAACCTATTACTCTTATGCATTCAGGACATTCCCACTCTCACCTCCGACTCTATACATTTACACAGGTTGAATGATGTGGCTCCCACGCAACCACATAAAATAGGCATTTCAACCATTATTCTTTATTTTTTTTTATATGAACTATAATTTCATTGGCATGGGGAACCCCTGATTAGGAAACCTCCTCTATCCATGCTGATAGTACTCCTTGAAAACATCATCTTAGAGGGTTGCTTTGAAGCACACTGGACCACTGCTTTGGGGCAATTAGTACATATCTGAGTTAGGACTTGAGACTAGGTCCTTTTGACTCCAAGATTGGCTTTTGATTAACTTTACTATTTCAAATTGAGGAAACTGAGGCCCATAGAAGCTAAATGTCTTAGGGGCTAGCTGAAATTGAAAACTAGGTCTTATAATTTTAAGAATTTAAGTTAGTAGTTTTCACAATGCTATTGCTTCTCCTGAAAGAGCTCTCTCTCTCTCTGTCTGTTTCTGTCTGTCTGCCTCTTTGTCTCTCTCTCTTTCTCTGTCTCTCTCTGACTCTGTCTCTCTCTCTCTTTCTTGTATACATACATACACACATCTCAGTTATAATCAATGATAAAATAATGTGAACTTAGGACAATCCATTGCTCAAAATCTGAGAGTTTCAGCACTGCTCCTTCTACACAAATGATGATATCATTTATGAAACAAAGTGGGCCACTTTACTGCTGACTTTCTTTTATCTCATCAAATTAAATAATCTGTTTTACAAAAGCTGCCATGGATTTGGACTTTTCTTCCACCTTGCTTTTGTTTCACCATCATCACCAACAACAACAATAAAGATCTTCAAAACCCAAACAAAAGTAAAATTAGCTGCTTACTTCCCCTCATTTACTTAGGGGAGAGGAACAGGTAACAATTTAGTTTTTCTTTCCTTCTTGAGCAAGGATTCCTTTGTTTTCTTCTAGTGACACCTGTTGGACTTTTTGGATGGCACCTGAATGACCATTTAATTTAAAAGCTACACAATATGATAACTTCAGTACTACTAAGGTTCCATGGTATTATCTATGAGGGCATTGCCTTTCTGTGTTACATCCAGACTTCCTTAACTGTGGTGACTCTTGGGCATATCTTTATATAAATATGCAACAGAATGTCTACCCACTGAATTGGGGATCCTGCTCCAGCTCTTCTAACATCTCACGACTTCCAGTTTAGTGTTGGCCTTTCATCTACTATTCTCAGTCCTATTATATGATTACCCTGCCCTCATTTTTTGGTCCTCCTTTTCCTTTATCAAGTCAAAGAGTAGGTTATGATCTTTAAATAATTGAGACATTCTTTGCATATGTGAAAAATCTGATTGACCCTCTGATTTAAAAATGCCACTTTGGGCAATCAACAATGTCTATCACATACCTGGGTCTTATTAGCTGATGACAGCACCAACCTCACAAGATCAAAATTTGCTTCACTCAAAGACCATTTTTCTAATTTGATTCAAGCAGCCACCATGGTGGTAAGAGCAAATTAGGCCAAATCCATCATCACTACTGAAAAAGTAAGTCATACAATCATCAGATGGTTGCTAGGTGACACAGTAAATAGAGCAGTAGATAGGGAGTCAGAAAGCCTGAATTTAAATCCTGAGTAAGAGACCTAGTAGCCATATGACTGTCAACAAATAATCTCTTTCACTATCATTTTTCCCACCTATAAAACAGTGATAATAAAAACAACTACTTTCCAGGGCTGTTGAAAGAACCCAATCAGTTGACATACATAAAGTACTTTGCAAACCTTAAAGTTCTGCATCTGTATTTTGACATTATTATTATTATTATTATTATTATTACTATTATTATTATTATTATTATTATTATTATTATTATTACTATTTCATTGATTTATAGCTTCAAGGGAACTTTTTAGTTACTTTTTTTGTCTTTGCCTGTTTTTTGGCTGATATTTTGTAAATATTTAGGAAATTTTATTTTTTGTTTCATCATGGAAATGTTTCTCCCTTCTGCCCTGTTATATTTAAGTATTTCAGTGTATTTGTTGGCTTTCTCCATCATCACATAATGATCAAATTTATGTCCAATTACTGGATGGCAGATATCAACTATTCCTTGAATATTCCTGCAAGGATTTATGAAAAAGAGGGGGAAGGGTGATGGTCGGTGACATGTAATATGGAGATTTCAGATTTCTCGTTTCAGCTTCACAGAAGCACTGTGAGGTAATCATCATCGTCGTCATCATCATCACTTATGCAGCAGTTGAACGTTTAAAAAGTGTTTTGAAAATATTACATCACGCTCTTTGCAGCTCGCGCCGACCATGGGACCATGGGGATCTCCCGGAACAACTGGTACAAGCGCCACAAGACCCGGGGCAAGCGTAAGCCCTGCCGCAAGAAGCACAAGTGTGAGCTGGGCCTCCCGTCGGCGGACACCAAGATCGGCCCCCGCCGTATCCGCACCGTGCGAGTCCGAGGTGGCAACAAAAAGTACCGGGCGCTGAGGCTGGGCCTGGGCAACTTGTCCTGGGGCTCCGAGTGCTCTACCCGAAAAACAAGGATTATTGATGCGGTCTCTAGTGCATCCACCAATGAGCTGGTCTGGACCAAGACGCTGGTGAAGAATTGCGTCGTGCTGACTCCTGAGGAGGAAGAAATTTTAAATGAAAAGCGGTCAAAGAAGATCCAGAAGAAATATGAGGAACGCAAGAAGAATGCCAAGATCAGCCCACTTCTGGAGGAACAGTTCCAGCAGGGCAAGCTACTTGCCTGCATCGCATGGAGGCCAGGCCAGAGTGGCCAAGCAGATGGCTACGTGCTCGAAGGCAAAAGGTTTGAGTCCTCCCTAAGAAAGTTCAAAGCCCGAAAGGGCAAATAAACCCGAATTTGGACATTCTCTAACGGAATAAATCCCCATATTGTTGAAAAAATATATATAATTTTATGCTCACAACAACCCTATTACAGATGCCAAATTTAAGGAAACAGGTTAAGTGAGTTTCCTAGAACCAGGCAGCCTGTGAGTACTTGAGGCCAGTTTTTAATCCAGGTCTTCATGATACCAGTCCAGTGCTCTATTTAGTATACCATTCATCAGCCAAAGTAAGTGTATTTTCATTTCCATTTTATAGACGAAGACATTGGGGCCCAGTAAAGGTAAGGGCTCAGCCCAGAGCTACATAGGGATTCAATGTCTGAGATAGAAATTAGATACACATCTTCTTGATTCCAAGCCCACACTGCCTCAGTTAGTCTATACTTCCACCTAATGTCTTAGAGTTCTTCAGTGGAGGGGGCAGTTCTATTCCAGATATGTGCCCCTACTTTGCCTAGGGTTCAGTGTAGAAGCTAAACAGACCCAAAGTGACCTTCCACACATGCATTTTGGGGATAGAGGTTTTTTTAAATTTTCTTTTTCTTTTTCTTTTTTGTATTAATATCTCTGACATCCAGAAAAGTGCCAGAAACATAGTAGGGTCTTTTTAAGGCAAAATTATAGAACATTTGATGAACTTCTGTGTCTTCCTTCTGCAAGGGTTATTCCAATCTTCTTGGTACCAATTTGAGGGTATATTGCCCAAGCAACACACATATTAGGCTCTTCATAAATGTTTATTGATGTTGAAACTCCAGGTGTGCCTAAGCTAACTAGAAATAGTATTCTGGGGCAGAACAGGAAAGACTTCAGCAAGCACCCGTAAGAATAGCTAAGACAAAAACAAAAATAATGTGATGAAAAGAAATGACATGATTTCAGTGTTAGCATAAGGTCACTTGGTTTGTTGCTTGTCCTTTTATAACCAACTATAAAAATGTTTCTCCTTATCATCAAAGTCCAAAGAAGTGACAAAAACATATCAAATGATGCCATCCCAAAAAATCCTTTCCTCTTGTCCAGAAGAGTTCTCATTTTTTATTGCCACTTCAGTGGCAGGAACTGAGACAAAGCGTCTATTGTGGTTGCATCAATGAATATTTATAACTCAGGATTAGACATCCTGGGCCCACATTGAGCTCCAGATACTAGCTATTATTGAAGTCAATAGATTTTAATGGAAGCCGTCTCCTCAACGGTGCCTGCCTGTTTGCCGCCAGAGTTTTCTTCCCTGGGTATTGTGTAGAAGGAGGTGCCAGCTCATAAATTATAAGCATCCTTGCTAAGACAGAGAGAATTTTGAAAGCTGCTTGGCTAACAATAGTGCCATATCATGCCCCTTTTTATAGATACAAAACCTGGTTTGGTGATTAGCAATGTCTCCTTCAAAGTCATTCTCTGTAAACAGGTATTTTGGTGGTGAATAGCAAATCTCAAAGTGACAGCAAACAATTTCAAATTTAACAGTGGATTTCAATTTTCAGAGGTTAGTGATACTTTGAGGTGACTCACATGTACTGAAAATGAAACTGAGGACTCTTTTCTTGTTCTTTCTTTCCTTTTATCCTTCCTTCCTTTTTCCCTCCCTTCATGAAATTAATGTCAAAGAAGAAGAAGAAGAAGAAGAAGAGAAGAAGAAGAATGATGATGATGATGATGATGATGATGATGATGATGGTGATGATGATGATGATAATGATGATGATTCACAGTAACTCACCTGTCAAACCATCAGTGGAATCCTTCATGGGTCTTTGGTGTGTATCCTCAACCTTACTCTTAGTAGGATAAACACTGATTGAGAGTAGGGACTGTTTCATTTTTTTGTCTTTGCATCCTCAGTACCCGGAAGACCACCTGTCACCTTTCAATCTGCAGTCTGTATTTTATTCACCATAATCATCCCCTAGAAATTCATCCCACTGAGCCTTGGGCTGTACTCTTCTATCCCCTAGCTCTAATAGGTGAGTTTTTGTTTCATCTTGCCTGGAACCATGATTACACACCACTCACTTCCCAATTATCTCTTCAGCATGTTATTCTGGCACCCCTCTCCACATTCATGACTCCCTCTTATGATGTATATATCATATTAGAACATAAACTGTTTTAGAATAGCCTTGCTTGCTTGTATTTCATTCAAAATGGCCAAAAGGGATTTATAGCAGTGATACAAGTTAGTGATGATCACTGTTAGAAAATCATACCAGTCATGATCAATGTTAGAAAAACAGTCAACATAATTGATCATGCTAAAATGTAAAACCTCCAAAATCATATGGTTGTCTTAATAGATACAGAAAAAAACCTTTGACAAAGTACATCACTTTTAAGCTAAAAGTTCTACAAGGTTTACGCACAGAAGGATATGTATATGCATATATAGATATAGATATAGAGATGATATCACAAAAGCCTCTATGTAATGGGCATACACTAGAACATTTTCCAGTAAACACAAAAATGAAGTAAGAATTCCCACCCTCCCCATTCTTATCTAGAGTTCTGGAAATGCTAGCCATAGCAACATTCTAAGAAAAAAAGTAAATTAAATGTATAAATATAGTTAAGAAAGAGATAATACTATCTCTGCTTTCTTATTTGATATTACACTTGGAAAATTCTAGAAAATCAGCAAAGATACTAATTGAGACAATTGAAATACTTCTTCAGCAAAGTTACAGGCTACAAAATGAAACCTCAAAATCTATAATATTTTTATTTAATTATAACAAATTCCAGGATAATGTTGAGAGTATGATCGTGAGATCCCAGAAAAATGGTGGTACCTTGGAGAGTAATAGAGACATTTTGAGAAGAAAGGGTTGTATAATGAGTTGTTTTACATGTGTTGATTTTAAGATGTCCTCAATTTGAAATGTCCAAAAGGGAATCAGTAACTTGTGACTGGAGATTAAAGGAGATGATATATGGCATTTTAAATAGATAGCCTTCCACAGACTTGGGTATGACTAGTTTCAGTCCCACTTCTAATATTTGTTGGCTGTGTGATCACAGTAATAAGCATGGCCTTAGTGGGGAATAGCAGACAATGTTATCATGAGTTACAACACAGGATAAAAAAGATCTAAATTTTATATTGTCCGTTAAGACTTGCAAAACATTTTACATGTGTCATAATTGAGCCTCACAATAACATTGTGAATCAACCACAGATTTTTATAAGCATCTACTGCATTCTAGGTATTATACTAAGTTTCGGAGATACAAAAAAGAGGCAAAGGACAAACTTTAGCCTCAAGGAGCTCACAATCTAAAGAGAGAGACAAGTCAAAATATATACAAACCAAAAATGTGTGTGTTTATACATACACACATACATATATGTGATAAATACGAATGATTAATAGAAGGAAGGCACTAGAGTTAGGAGGGTCTGGGAAAGTCTTCTTGTAGAAAATGGGAATGCTGTTAGGACTTAAAGGAAGTCAGGGAAGGCAGTACTGGAGATGGAGAATTTTGGCTTGTTCTCCAGGTATTGGAGACAGCCAGAAAAATGCCTGGAGCAGAGAGATGTAGTGTTTTGTTCATGGAACAGCCAGGGAGCCACTGTTACTAGATTAAAGAGTACATGGTAGGGAATAAGGTGTAATAAGACTGGAAAAGTAGGAGGGGAAAGGTTATGAAGGGCCTTGAATGCCAAGTAGAGGATTTTATATTTGATACTGGAGGATATAGGGAACAATTGACTTGTATTGAATAGGGGATATGCACTTTAGGAAAACGGCTTAAGTGGCTGTTTGGAAGTTAGATTACAGTGGAGAGAGGTTTAAAGCAGGCAGATCCAACATCAGTCCATTGTAATAATCTGGGCATGAAGTGATGAGAGACTGCACTGAAGTGATGAGAGACTGCACTAAAGTGATGGCAGAGAGCAGAACGGGGTATACTTGAGAGATGTTGAAAAGATTAAATCAACAAACCTTAGTAACAGATCAGATATGTGAGGCAAGAGATGGTGAGGAGTCAAAGATGATGGCTGGGTTGGGAATCTGAGGAGCTGGGAAGGTGGTGATACCTTCTTCAATAATAGAGAAGGTGGGAGGTGGGGAGAGGTCTGGAAAAAAGCTGAGATCTATTTTGAACATGTTGAATTTAAGATATCTATTGTATATCCAGGAAGGTACTACTTTTAAAACATGCATTTTATTGTTATCTATTACTTTTATATAAGTTCAATTTCCTCTATATTATCCACTACCCCCATCCAAAATAACAAAAAATAATTTTTAAAAGAAAAATAAAAGGTAATACAAGAAAAAAGGAGGAAAGTTTGCAAAACTAATCGATATGTATATGCATATATGCATACATACACATATGTGGGTATATATGTATATATACATATATGACAGTATATTCATACACATACTAATTAGTTGATAGCAGTGTCTTCTAATATCTCTTCTTTATAATTTTGTAATATTAAATTGTTTTGCAGTTAATTTCTTTTTAATTTACATTGTTATATTCATTATGTATGCTATTTTTCTTCCTCTTCTTACTTTTACCTTGCATCAGTTCAAGGTAGATGTTGTTACCTTTATTTTACAGTTCAGGAAACTGAGGCTGAGAGACATTGTGTTTTGCCTAGAATCATCCAGCTAACAAGTATCTGAGGCAGGATTCCAACTGCCATCTTTGTGACTCCAAAGTTTTCGAAGGACTGGTGAGGAAAACAATCCCACCTGTGACCTTGGTCCTTTGAACAACAGAGGATAGAAAGTTATCTCAATAAACACAATAAAAATTTGCCTGAAAATAATTCTTAGATTTTTTTGATGTTGGTAATGCCGTCATATGCACAACCAGAGTCACCTCTGAAGCATTTGCATCCTGAGAGAAGCACTATCAGTGTCTCCAGAGCGTATCATATCAGCCTTTGAATGTCTCAGCATTGAGTCCCACTGTTCTGACATCATTCATCTTTACAGGGCAAGACTGATTCTTTCTCTGAGGAGAGAAATGCCTATATTGTCACATATGAAAGAATTCTTCCCATTAACGGCTGCCTCATTCTTGGCTCGAAAATATTAAGATTTCTGAGGTGTCACTCCTCTGCCTTCAGAATTCCTTCCATGTGATGAGGAGTGTATTCTGTAAGATAAGCCAGCTACTTTGCAGACTTGCAGAAGCAATAGTTCTTTCTCAAACCACACAATTTATTTTGAACCACAGCTCTGGTTTGAACCGCAGACTGAAGATTGCTCTACCGTGGAGTCCTCGTATTATCTGTTTTGCACTGACATCAATAAGTGACCTGGGGTGGTCAACTTCATCCCTCTCAATGGCGTTTTCTTAGCCTTGCAGTTGTCTCCTTAGCCGAACTCTTGGTAAGCTGTTACCCTAGGAGGCAGGGGAGTAGCTTGTGATCCAAAAATGATATTCGCAGTTTAGGTCAAGGGGCTGAATCTAGTAAGGTGAAATCAAATGTGGATGAATGGCAAGTCCTATATTTCTGTATTTTGTTTGAAAACACCAAGATCAAGTTAGGGAGATTGTAAGTTGGGGAAAACTAGGCCAGACAATACTTAGCGTGAAAATGATCAGTAGCAAGTTTTAGTGGACTTCAAGCTATAGTTCATTAGTATTCAAACTAGGAGCTAAGGATCAAATTGAAGAGGTGCTTGATCCACCATGTGTGTTGTATACTATTCTCCTCCAAGTCCATAGTTAGTTATGGAATTTGTTTCCAATACAACTACTTCAGAATTTATTCCCTGACTTGTCTTTTTTTTTTAAACCAGGCATTGGTCCTTTAGGGCAGTCAAACTTACCTGAACATTCATAGTAGCATTGTACAAAGGTTAGTGATAAAATTACACTCACTGTAAACCTTGCTTTGTAGATCACCTTGTAACTGTGGCAGGTGCCCCTCAGAGGGTCAACTCTGACTTGTGGGCAGGGACCAATGAATACTTTCCCCACTTTTTAATTTTAGCTGTGACAAAGTGAATCGCCCTGAGTGAACAGGCATAGTTGGTTGCAACATGCATCTCAAACCTTAACAAACTGTTTTTACTCCAAATTATCTCTCTTCTGAGCTTTTCTACGTCTACAAGGTTACAGTCATGTTTCCGGTTTCAACTTGAGTGTCATTCTCATATATTCATCCTCACACACTCTGTATATCCATGCTACCATGGGGAAAATGGTGACCAGAGCCCAGGCTCAAGATCCATGGGTAGGTTTTCCAAATGGAGAGGCTCTCTGTCTCGGAGGCTGCAAAGACCAGATTATTACAATGATTCAGAACGCCTGAGAGAGTTCTCTGCAAGAAAATGCATATCAGAATCCTTGATGTGCCAGTCTGTTTTTTCCATTGCTCATTAAGTAGCAGTAATAGTGACTTCTAGAGGAAAGATTATAAATATTCATATCTTATGATATACCATAGAAGAGTTCTCTTGATTTGTATTCTCAAAACCTCCCCCCCAAAATCAGTGATTCTAATAAAGTCAAACAATAATTCTTCGTTAAGTATACCTAGTGAACAACAGATCAAGGGAAATGAGTGTTGGGCAAGGATTATTTGTAGCTCAAGGATATATAGATATATATCCATTTCATCATTTGCTTGATAGTCTCATTCACCAGATTTCAAGCTGGTAAGTACCTTAGAGATCATCTAATTACACCCCTGCATTTTACACTCAAGGAATCTGAGGCCCAGGGAGTCTTAAGAGGCTTACCCAAGGACCCACAAATAAAAAGTAATAGAACCAGGATTGTAAGAGGAAAGGTCTTCTAACTACATATCATTGTTCCTTCCACTAAATCATGTTGCTTTTATAATATCAGAGCTATCATTTAGAAGGGACCTTAGAGGCTATATACTCCAGCTCCTTCATTTTACAAAAGAGGAAAGTAAGACACAGAAAGTTTGTTAAGACTTGCTCAAAGTCAGACTGATATTAAGAAGCAACAGTGGGACTCAAGTCAATTACAAATGTCAGACTTCTTTTAAACCCTTGGACCAAAACTGTGTTTTACTTCACTCAGAATTTAATATGTAAGATTTCAAGTTCCATTAAAATGAAAAATTTGAAGCATGGTGTTTTATTGCATTAGTGAGACTTAAATTCTACTCCTTTCCACAGCCATCGTAGGGCAACTTTTAATATAAAGATATAGTCAGTGTTTTTGTTTTTTTAATTATTCCCAGTTCAATACATTGCAGTGGGCTGTCTTATGAAATCCTATGACAGAATCATATAATTCAATGTTAGAAAAAATCAGAGAGAATTTATCCTTCTACCTTTAGCACTGAGAAAACTGAGTACCAGAATAGCTAGAAGATTTGTCCATGGTCACAGTCATGGTCTACTGTATTTAAAGATGCTACAATGAATAATGCAATATAATGTGTGGCCTATTAGAAAGACCACCGTATTTGGAGTGGGTTTCAAACCAGGATTTGCCACTTTTTCTTACATGGTATTGGACAAGTCATTTTATTCCCCTTGGCCTCATTTTCTTCATATGTAAACAATCTCAAAATTCCCTTCTGGTTTTCAATTTATGAATTCAATTAATGCAAATTTGGAAAACTGACTTTAGAAAGGAGTTTGTAATAAATCTAGAAATTCAATAGATTCCATTATTTAGTTTGTCAGTTTTGGAATTAATTTTGGCAAATCATTAACTTCTCTTCAATCTCCTCAGATAAAACTGGAAGTAAGCTACTCTTCCTATGTGAAAACATGAAAGCAGAAACAAAAGATCTGCAATTTGCCAGTATATGGAGCTCTTCTCATAGGAACCCCTTCCTTACTGATTGCCATCCATTTATTACAAAGCACAGAGGATTGTCTGAGGCGCAGTAGGTAAGCTGACTTATCCACTATCACACAACTAGTGTCAGAGCTCTCCTTTTTATCCCTTTCTTCCTGATTCCAAATTCAACCTTCTACTCAGTAGTCCAGACTGACTTTAATTCCTGAAAACAGCAACTATGTGTCTCCCTACAATAGACACTAGGAAATAAATACATGCTATGTGAGTCCTTCATATTCAGTATAATGCAATTTTGCCAGCTTTATATGACTGGAAAATCCCATTGACCCAACATGAGCGTATTCTTTGTGGCCTCTGGGATCAAATATAAAATCCTCTGCTTGGTGTTCTAATTCCTTCATAACAAAGCCACCCCCACTCCAGATCCATCCCACCTTTCTAGTATTCTTAAATCTTACTCCCAGAAACCTCCTCCTCCATGCCTGGCTCTAGGCATTCTCTGAGGCTGTCCCCCATGCCTAGAAAGCCCTCCCTCCTCATCTCTGCCTATTGACCTTCCAGAATTCTTATAAGTTCCAGCTAAACTCCTATTTTCAACAGGAAACCTTTCCCAACCCCCCCCAATTCTAGTGCCTTCCCTCTCATTTATTTCCTGTTTATCCTGTCTATAGCTTCTTTGTACATATTTGTTTTCTTGTTGTTTCCCCCATCAGGTTGTCAGCTACTTGAGGGCAAAGACCATTTTCTGTTTTTATTTTTGCCTCTCTTTCTAGTCACTGACACTTAACATAGTGTTTAGCACATCATAGATGCTTAATAAATGTTTATTAACCAACTGATTGACATATGCATATGTATATATGTGTGTGTATATATTATATATATATATACATATATAGTGTGTGTATATATGTAATATATAATATATATGTAATATATATAATACATATATGTTATATATAATATATGTAATACATATAATACATATATGTTTTATATATATATGTATAAAAGAGACATATAGCTTAGAAAGTTAACCTAGATAATCCTGGATAACTTTTTTTTTTTTTTGCTTAGGGAAAATGGCTTTTTTTTTCCTACTTGGAAGCTTAGAGAGGAAAAACAAAACAAAACAAAGCTCATCATTCAGATTCAAGATAAAGAACTAAAGGAAATTTAGAGGTTTTAAAATTTCCCAGAATACCTCTACCATCTTAACATCAATCATGCAACCTGACTTCCCTCAATATAAGCAGGCCTGAAATGATGAACTATCTGCCTTCCCTAGAGAACAGTTACACCAACATGACTGAAGTGGCTGAACTTACCAAGTGCCTTTGGCACAGTGAGAGACCACATGGGCCTGAAAGTCCACTATAGACTCTTTCATTATGCAGTTTCTTATCATCCACGTTTCTCTTAGTCATGAGAACAGTTTCTTCTATTAACACCTGCCCATTTCTTTTCTTGAAATTCCACCTTGCCTAGTTTTGTCCTTTTTTTATGTTACCTTCACTTATGCGCCAATCTTTCTTGTCACCATAGATCCCCAGGCCTATGGCCCATCATAGCAATGTGACTCAGTGGATTGATTATTGAACCTAGCTTTAAATCCTTCCCCTGTCTCTTACTACCTGTTTAATCCTGGGGCAAATCACTTAAACACTCTCTTCCTCGATTTCCTCTTCTGTAAAATGAGGAGTGTGGACTTGATTAAAATGAAGAAAAAAACTTATTAAGCATTTATTATATGCAAAAGACTATACCAAGTGCTAGGAATAGAAATGGAAAAGCATGCTTACATACATAGGAAATATTAGTATTATTGATGCCTTATAAGTTCCCTTTTGCCTTTAAATCTATGTTCTTATGATTCTATAAGGCAAAAGTTTAAATTGTGTCTTTGACAATAGCTGTGTGACAGTGAGAAAGCCAATCTGAGTCT